ACACACACACACACACACACACACACACACACACACACACACACACACACACACAGAGGCCCTTGGTGTCCCGCCTCTCTCCCATGTCACAATGCACTCAGTGTGGTCTGGCAGCATTGCTGCTCTGTCTGCTAGAAAGCTACTGGAATGCTAACTAAGCTCTTTATTCTCAGCCATTTGCAATGGGTGGACCAGATGATCTACAAGTTGTCTATGCAGGTCAGATCGTTTCCTTCCAGTTAAACCAAGGACATATGTAATCAGCAATTTGTAAACCGCACCACTGAGTCACTTCCTTGATAGTAGTCTGTTACCTTAGTGAAGTAGTACACACACTGCTGAAAGGCGAGCATGATGACCTCCTCTAGGACAGCTATCGTCTCTTCGCTGGCTGAACGGACGCAGGACATCAGAAGCTCTAACAATACTGAAAGGTATACATTCAGAAACGCATAAATGTCATGTCATCATATGGTTGTTAATGTGGACTGTGCTTTATAATGTTACACTGTTTGGTTGCACTACTGCCCAGCATAAGATAAATAAGGAATATGATGAATTTTAAATTATGCCAGCAGAGAACAAGCAGAATAGCTCCCCTTTAATTATTATTATGGCTACATGCTCTCTACAGCACCTAAACAACTAACCCAAGTTCTTTACTTCCTTGCTCTCATCATCTTCCCTCTCTGGTTCCTCCTTTTGTTCCTCCTCTTCTTGGGCTCTCCACTCCAGAATAAGAGGCAGCTGGTGCTGAATGAGCTGCAGCAGCTCCAGGCTGTTTGACATCCACACCACTAGGGGGTGCAGTCCAGGGATCAGCTCTTGAAGGCAGAGAAGAGTGGGGTCTTCTGGGTTTGAACCTTCGCACCTGAGACTGCAACACAGGAGGAAAGCTGTGCAGTGTTCTCTGTGAACTGTAATATAATTAGTGTCGGGGAAATAAAGAAAGCTCTGCTTACACTTCAGGCTGAACTGCAGCCAGCTCCTTGGTCTGCTCCTGCACGACAAGATTAAAAGTTTTGGAGTGACTTAAAATAGCAATAGGTAAAATTGTAAGTCAGAGCCATCTGGGGGATATAACACAGTATTTCTCTGTTCTTCAGATAGTAACTTAATTTAGTAATTCAGTCCTTGGTTGCTACAGTGAACAGCAGTTTGAGTTCCTAAGAAATGATTAGTCCCTGAAGAAAGTTCTGCTTTGGGAAATTAACTTTTGGAACAGAATTTTAAGCCTGATTTTCTCCCTGCAGACACTTTCTCTTTGGTCTCGGTGTGCTCGTGCTGGATGCACTCAGCAACACTTGAAAGTGACCTCTCCTTTGGTTAGCAGTGAAGCAGATGATTGAAAAAGACTGTGTAAGCACATCATGGCGACCAGCTATGGATCTCTTTAAATATTAACCTGTGCACATCCTTTTTTAAACATGAAATCTCTGATTTCCTGACATTGAACACATCTGAAGCAACTTTTTTTGCTTGTTGTTGTTATGCTCCACTTTAAAATGTGGCAGAGCTCCTTATATGTCTGTTACTACAACTCACCCACATGGCACTCTGAACTCCACTTGCAATACGCAGCAGAAGCCTGCGTAGGTCTGACGTTTGAAGACAAACTGACGAATACTGAACACACATGCACAGCAGGAATGCAACAGTCAATGGTGGTCTACCACTGATGCTGCTACTGCTCCCCATAGCAACAATCTCCTTCACAATAATGTCCTCGTCTTCAGCTGCATAGCTAAGAGTCAGACTGTGGCCTTCAGGTGATTTTAGAAATGGAGGCCCTCCGCTCAAGGGCTGTTTGCAGTTTGGGCTCTGGTAGGTGATGCAGGTGCTACAGAGGATCTTTTCGCTTGTAGTTGCAGAGGTGGTGTGACCTAGAGTCCAGGAGGCGGCAGACAGGCTGGGTTCAAGAGCATCACTGATCACTTCCTTTATTTTCCAGAAAGAAACAAGAAACATGAAACATGAAGCAGGATTTGCACATAAGAAAAAATCCAAATTGATTAAAAGTAAAAGATTTTGGTTCTTGTGAAGGTAATCTGCTGTTACCTTGTGCATTGAAGCTAGAGGGTCTTTAAAAAGAAACAAGTAGTGCTGTCCCAACCCAATAATATCACCAGAGCAAAGCGGTTCCTCATTTCTCAGCCCTTTTCCATTCTTAGTGACCACGGCATCCTGACACGGGCAGAGAACGGTGGGTGCAACGGCGCTGTGGCGAAGGAAGTAGCAGTGTCTCGGAAGAATATCAGCGGCAAAGAGAAGGATATCAGCCTTTGACCCTTCCTTGTGACCGCTTTGTTGACCAACAACAATATTTGGGCTGGCAAGGAGGTAGATGACAAAGTCCTGAGTGAAGAAATAAATGACAAGTTACCAAACAATCACCAAGAGTTCACTATATCTCATCTTCTCTCAAATGTATTCCACTCTGTACAGTGCCGTTGTCTGCTGGTACTTTGTTCAGGCATGCTCAAAGAATTTCTTTTAGTATATAAAGAAGCATTATGATTACCTGACCTCCCATGTGAGATTTTTATTTTTTTACTTTGGTATTATTGTTTTGGTTTTACCTGCTCTTTGATGACATTTAACTTCCAGATCTACTTGGTTTAATTCAATTTTATTCAATTTTATTCATACAGCGCCAAATCACAACAACGGTCGCCTCAAGGCGCTCTGTATTGTAAGGTAGACCCTACAATAATACATACAGAGAAAAACCCAACAATCATATGACCCCTGTGAGCAAGCACTTTGGCAACAATGGGAACTAAAAACTCCCTTTTAACAGGAAGAAACCTCCATCTTAACCAGGCTCATGGAGGGGGGGCCATCTCTGGTGACCGGTTCAGGTGAGAGAAGGAAGACAGTATAAAGACATGCTGTGTTTAAGCACCAAAAGCTTTAGAATGGATCATAGTTTTGGTTCAAATCAGAACTTGCACAATGATCCAGTGACAGGTTCCAATACTTCTAATATAGCCTATGAATGGTTGCCTGAAGAGGATTTAGTGATAGTAGGAAAGCTAAAAAACAAGAATGCAAAGATCTGCTTGATACAATTCAATGACAAGTGTCTGCACAGTGAATGCTAGCATGCTGTACTTGAGTATAAACAGTGGTAAAAAACTGCATTTAGTAACAGAAAGGTGTCCCCACACAGGCAATGCCAACAGGGAAATCTGTGCTGACACAAAATCTGTGACATTCAGTGACTTCAGTAGGATTCAACTTTTCTGAACTTTGAGGCGAGCAACGGAAGTGACTGTCACTGAGCTCAAACCATATTTTAATTACCATATGACAGGATTGTAAATATATTTGAGGGTTATCGAGGCATATGTGGTTATGTGTTAGCCCTGCAACAAACTGGCGACCTGTCCAGGGTGTGCCCTGTCTCCCGCCCAAGACAGTTATCCAGGCAATCGAAGTCTGGAATGTCCGCTATCAACCAACCATCAGCAATAAAGCAAATTGCTACTGGTGTGAATGCCATAGACATTCCAGACAGAACTCTGAGGTCTAAGTCATCGTAGGTGGAACACTACTATTAATGCTAACGCTAAACCTATATTTTAGAGAAGGTAAAAACTGATATTTTTTTTATTTTTGTCTGATTAATTTCTTTGTACCTTGATTGCAGAGACTTGGGAGCACAATTTAAAGGTACAGTAAGTAATCTTTTGACATTATTTAGTAGAAAAAAAGACAGTTGTACTCATAAATATACATTGATTAGTGTATATGTACATCTTCTAAAAAACTGATGCATTCTCACAAACTGGGAATGAATTCATTAAAAATACATGGCAGCGAGCACTCCTGTGGGAATTTGGAGGGATAAGAAAAGATTTTACACACTGTACCTTTAATAAAAAAGAAAAAAATACATATTCTGATTGCCCAAGTTTAAGAAAGCATATCAATCACTGAAGAGCCAGCGGCAGTCTAGTTGCGGTTGAAGAATAGCGTCAAAATTAAAGTTGAACAGATGTTGCAGATGTTACTCTGTCATCAGCTCAAGGTGCTTCTTAAATAGCGCCTGAATGTCCTTGTTAGACTTTCTAGTAATAGGTTTGCATTCAAGAATCATTTTCTTCTGTCTATTTGACAATTATATAGACAGTGGAAAAAAACAACAATTAAAAAAAACTTGAGAAAATTATGAGCAGAAGAAAGAAAAGCACACACTTCAAACCTCACACATTTGTGTCCACTGAGCTAACTGCCATTATGTTCATGTGGTAGCATTACTGAGTTAATGATGCTGATCTGACACATGCTGCAAACTTCACAAACCAAAGGGTAACGTGAAGTCGGCTACATCGATCTTATATACACAGTCTGTGGTTAATCAGCAACATATCTGCAACATGTTAACAGACTGCATCTATTTGACTTTGTTTGGTCTGTAAAAAAGTAAAAAATGTTATTTAAAAAAAGGCTCAAATCTGAGTAATGAGTGCTTTTGTAATGCTTGAGTTCATTTTATGGATAGTGCTGTGATCTGGAGACACAACGACACACTTTAGCCCTTTTGTTAATCACTAACAAAAAGAAAGATTGAATTTAGTGCATTACGTCAGTCCACCATCAGCTATGTAACAGTCTCCCTCAAACAAAGCTTAGCAGTCTGATCATGTGGAGGTACTGGAATTAAAATCTAGATCCAAGCCTGATTAGACAAACAATGTTTTATTAGCCCCAGTGAGTGGCAAGCATAGTGTGTAGAGATTATTATGTTTGACATTCCCCTTGTGATGCTTGTGTTTTCCAACTGGACAGATTAAAGCTGAATTAATGCACAAATAAACTCTTTAAACCTTTATAATAGTATATCTTGGGGGTACATGATTATATTCTTATGAAGGGTATTTTGGGAAAGAGCTGTGACGCAGAGCTAAAGCACTGCAGAATCTGTGTATGTGTGTGTGTGCCTGCATGTGTGCGGCTGTTGGCCACCGTTAAAAAACCACTGGTAATCAGTCAGGAAGCAGTGCCAGGCTTGTCTTCTTCTGTTTCCTGAACAGTGTTTTTATACTGACAGTTTTTCTACGTGCTGTTCACTGACCTTCACAATAATGATTCTTTCCGCTGCCTCTCACTTTCACTTAAGAAAACAATGGATTTTACAGCACATGTAACACTATACTTTAAAATGTAATGGTTTGCATATGGAAATATTTTTTAAAGAAGCTGAAAACAACGTACATGCAGCTAAAACTGTAGAGCAGTCTAAATTTATCGTTAGCTGAGTCTTGCCCAACAATTATACCTCATCGTTTTAGCTAACCACACCTAACAGAGGCAGAGCTACTGACTGACTATAGCGGTTTTTAAGTGTAGAATCTACCTAGCTAACTGATAAAGCAAGTTCTCGTTCTATGAATTTCATATAAATGCATTTCAACTTAACAACTCATTCAATTGTCTGCTGAAAACTGCATGGTGCTAAAAGACTGAAGCTAAAACTGCCTATTCCAGTCAAAAGTTAGCATGCTCAGCAGTTGACATAGAAGACACAGCAACGTATTCCATTGTGTTACTCAATGAGAGTAACGTATTCTGAATGCTTTGGATTCAGAATACTCTTAATATAAAATGAGTAACAGTAGGGTGGACATTAGTTGAGGCTGCACTTTATGCAGCGATTTCGTATAGAAAATTATTCGGCGCATAAATAAAACAGGCCCGCGGCTGCGAACCGTAGTAAAGAGACCTCTGGCTAACACGTCGGGCTCGTAGCCGAAAACTAGCTTTACTTTGTTGTCTGGGTCAACTTTGCTAACGAGAGACAGAGCGAGGCGTTGAAAGACTGCTCCAACGGAAGTTATTGTTTTGGAGGAAAACACGAACACGGTGTACAGTCGAGTCTAAATAGCTTACTTACAACTGGGCTCGTCAGGCACTCTTTTTGGCTGCAGTGGTTGTTATTATATTTACATGTTCCATACATGCTATGGCTGTAACACTCTGCCTATTGCCTTCATATTAAATAATTTTTTGAATAATACTTTTAAAAAAATATTTCTTCACGTCATTATGCGGGCCGCAAGTAGAGGTGACATGGACATGGGCCCCGAGATTGAGACACAGACATTAGAGCCTCTCAATGTGTGTTTTGTTTGCATTTCCACCGGCGTGGAATTACCAAAAATAGAGAGGGCATAGCCTAACATATGAAGCAGGAAAAGATCGCAGTGTAATCCCTTTATTTCGCAAAGTAACTGTACTCTGATAACCACCTTTTTAAACAGTAACTGTAATGGAATACAGTTACTCATATTTTGTATTTTAAATACGTAATGCCGGTACATGTATTCCGTTACCCCCAACACTGGAAACAGAATCATTGTTATAGTGAAAATGTAACTATGAGTACAAGATAAAATGTTAAGATCCATTCTGGCCAACTGCAAAAAAGTATAGTTTCCTAATCCTAATCCTAGAAAGTGTTACCATTCAAAACATCTTAAGATGTTAACATTATCGGGTTTGAGAAGCTTGCCAAACATTTACCTAACAGTTCTTTACTGGCTTGTCTCACTGTGTGTTAACAGACCTCTCTCAACTGAATTATAGTTGTTATTTATCTGTCTCTCTTCCACAGCATGTCTTTATCCTGTCTTCCTTCTCTCACCCCAATCAGTCACAGCAGATGGCCCCGCCCCTCCCTGAGCCTGGTTCTGCTGGAGGTTTCTTCCTGTTAAAAGGGAGTTTTTCCTTCCCACTGTCGCCAAAGTGCTTGCTCATAGGGGGTCATATGATTGTTGGGTTTTTCTCTGTATGTATTATTGTAGGATCTACCTTACAATATAAAGCGAAATGAATTGTCTGGTTTAAGCTCCAAGAGGGACACAAGAAAAATGCTTTGCTTGAGGCTCCAGAGTGAGACCTCACTAACCAATGGGTGACCTCACAGTGGCCTTGTCCATCTTATACATACAGGCTATATTTAGGAAGTGTGAGGTGAGCCAATGTAGTGATCATGCTGGTCCAGGACCAGGATAAATGAGGAGTGTTACATCTTTGCCATATGGATAAAAATAATGCAGATTGGTCAAGTCCCAAACAGATGCAGATGATCAGCAGTGGCAATGCCTAAGAAGAAAATTTAAGGGAAATAACCAAATGAGTTTGCCAAAACTGTTGTCTGCCATTATTTTTTGTTTTTGTTTCTTTTGTGGGAGTGAACAGTTGGTAGTGTTACCCAAACTCAGCATCCGGGACAAACTTCCACACAGTAAGTAAAAACACATGTGTAGTTATTATGAACAGGACCATTTTTTTAAATGTTGCACATACACACTTTTTAGGTCTGTATGTAGTGTACTGTTATGCTGCTGGTTCTGTAAACATAATATGATAGCTATTGCAACTTTTTAGAACAAATAAATGAGGGAGCTCTGGCAGTAGCAGTAGAGGACATCAAAGTTAAGTGGTAACAATAACTTGAAATATAGTTTGGGTTTCACCTTTCATGAGCACAATTCACAATTTTATCCCTGGGAAACTTTTAAAGCACTGATTACTTAACTATAAAGATAAACTTTATGTAATAGCTGAATTGTCATGACACTTTAATGCCAATTCAGCTTGTGTGCATCAGTAATGCTAATGCAATGACACTGTAAAATACACTGCTAGTTTACATCTTTTTAGTGCGATCATATAAATAATGACCTGGTTGTTGCTGAAGGTTATGAAGGTGAGGTAAATAAAACAGTAGCTAAAGTACACAGTGTAACCAAAAGTTTTTCAGTTTGATTATCACTTTCTGCATGTTTCCTGTCTTGTCCTATTGGCCGAAGAGGCAAATTGCCAGAAAAAATAAAACTGACATCAGATAGACCATTCCTTAAACGTACACTATTGTCTTTTTAGTTTTTTTTTATCATATAAAAACACCACTCACCCGCTACTAAACTCTTTAAATGGACGATTTCAACACTCGAACATGTATAAAAAGCCAAAGCACTGACAGGCATTGCTGTTTCCTACTGCTGCTGACATATGATTGGAAAACTGCTTTTCAGGGTCAGATGCAGAGCGTGTGTTTGGATATGATACCTGCGCGGGGTTGTAGCCCTGCAGCAGTAGCAGGTATGGACAGTCGTGAGGAGGGTGAATAGAGTACTGTGTGGTGTTATCGTCGCTGCTCTCTGTCTCCTCCCTCTCCGACTCCTCTACTTCCTGCTCGCCTCTCGGCCTTGACGGATAGAGGTTCTCTGTTTTGGCCCCCTCTGAGGGAGCTGCAAGGCTGTGAATGTGATTCTGTTCTGGATGCTCAAAGCTTTGCACTGACGTTTGATTCGGGCACTCGCTTTCATCCTTGACACGTTTTTCGTGATCTGTGTCGTGTTTGGTCTCTAAGAGGTCCATCTCACTTTTGCTCCTCCACAGTTTCTGGCTCCGGCTCATGGTTTTCTCTATGAGGGTGGAGGTCACTCTGGAGCGGCTCTTCTGCAGCTTACGAGCCTGAGCATTGATACCTGAGAGGGAGATGAATAAACAAATAAGAGAGCTGGGAATAGCGTTCTAACTACATCCAAACTGAGCTGCAGTAAAAATATACAGAGCTCAGGGCTAATGGAATGTGGTAATAGAGCAACACCCTTTTTTTTTTCTTCCTGAAGCAAGGTGAGGTGTGTGTGAACCTCGGTCATTTGTCCATGGTGTGTTTATGCCAGGATGAACACAGAGAAGCACCATACAGGAAACAGACCTCAGTGGAAAGAAAGACAGAGCTCATGGAAAAAAAGAAGAAAAAACGTCACCCCCGCAGCAGGCATCTACAAGCTGACACCGATAGAAGGCCATCACAAGCTGTGCCATTCATAAAAGCAAAACACATAACAGGACACAGTCTTACACTACGAACACAGCTGTGTCAACCACAGCTGGGGCCCCTAGTAGAAATGATTGTAGAAAATAGTCCAGCCAGTGCTGTTACAGTACCACGGAGTGTTTGTGTCAGGTATCTGTGGAAAGTTCTGGTGTTTTTCTTCTGTCACATCATGCCTTGTAAGGCCAATTAGATATTGTAGCAGTGTAAATCTTTTACAGCATTTTGCAGCAAGCAGTGAAGTACAAAAGATAGGGTGTGTCACTGGAAGAAATCTAATTAAACAAGTGTGTCTGCGACATCAATTACATTTAAAGTTTTAAAGAACATTTTAATGGAACTGAGAGCAAATGTGATCCCCAAATTTGCAGCAGAAATTGAAAAGAAAGGAAAAAAAAGAAATAGTAGACCTATTAAAATATAGCTTGGCCTATGTGGCTTGGCCTACTTTCACTGGAACAACAACGTGCCAACAAACCACATTTTTACTGTGAGAACTTTAAAACTGGGCTTAACACTGACAATGCTTCATTTACTGGTGAAGACTCCTATTCCAGGGCATGCACCCTGGTTCAGGATGTGGTATAGTGTGCAGCGATAACTCCTTATTGCCCTGTGGCTATAGCGTACCAGCAGTGATGGTATCCTTCTCTTTGGATGTCTTCTCCTCTACTGAACTTCTCTTCTGGATTTCGAATCGTCTTGCCAAACCATCTCTGGGTTTCCACAGCGACTGCAGGAGGAGGGGTTTTTCATGGTCGCCCAGTACTCGGAAACCTTCTGTTCTCCACGGATGATTACTAATGGAACCAATGGTGTCACAGAGAACGTAGGACTCCCCTTCCTCCTTTCTCAGGCCATACCTAGATCACAGTTAGCCATGTTATCATCCTTTCAAACCCAGAGACAGAGCACTAAAACAGTAGGCAGCAACATTTCTCCTGAGACTGTCTCACCGTTCTGCCAACAATAATGGACAATATCATTAATTCTCTTGAGACCGAAGCATTACATTCAGAAGCATTCAAGGTTTACGTTCGCTTGTTAGCAGCTAACTATGCTTGTTTCTTCACAGTGGGTTTATTAAATGTTTCTTGCATAAAACACCCTTCTGCTGTGTCTAGAAACAAATTTCTTAAAAGAAGTGACAGCAAATTGCAAAACTTTATACTGAGCTCAAAAATGCTTAAATGCTCTGAACAAGTGAGAGAGACTGTTCTTGAGTGCAATATTAGCTCATCACCAAAAGCAACTGCTTTCACATAAGTGTTTATATACATTACATGCAGTACTATGTAAAAGTGCAACTAATTTCTTTATACTTTACTAGGATAATGGAAAGGAAGTGCAGCAATTTACTGATTATATTGTTTTTCTATTCAGGTTTGCTAATAGCATTGGTAAAATGTTTGGTATTATTCACATGTTGAGAAAGAAATTAAAGCATCTGTTTTCATAATTTCATCAGTTTTGACAAGATTAATCACTCCCTAAGACCCGTTGCCATTGATTTTCAGTTTAATTCTTGCATAATTTGGCATGTCTAAGTCTTTTCTTTCCCCTTTCCTTCCTTAAGAATCACTTTTTGAGCTCTCCACTGAAACATTTTCTGTTGAGGCTTCAATGAAGGGGGTGAGATGCATCTGTCTGACCCTGTTTCAGGTTTTTCCAGTTTCTTAAGAACATGACTTTTAGATAATGTTCATCTGGCACATTTGCTTTCATCCATAATGCTGAGATATGTCAATTTTCAGGCTAATATATTTCTGGGAATCTACCCTGTTCGTACAAAAATAAAATTTTATGCCCCTTAGATTTTGTTATCCTCGGCACTTTTGTAGGATCAGCTAAAAAAAATGGGAACAAATTGTGTGCTTGTGACAAGCTTTTAGTAACAAACTTTACTGTTCTTTGCTAAGTTGTCTATAATGTGTAGACACAACACTGATTCATCCCTTGAATTAGATGAGTTTTTGTGTTTGAATGATTCATTTATCAGTGTTAAGTGGTAAACAAGTAAGTAAAATAAAAAACCCGAAACATTCCTCTGAAAATGATCAGGTACAAGGACGGGACTGAATCAGCAGCTAACGTCAAGAGAAAAACTAAAAGACCTTTAGAAAATCTGGAGCTCTATTGCTAATAAAGACACTTACAAATTAAAAGAAAGTCTTCGTCTTACAGTACTGTACTAACTTTACAATTTATCAATGTAATTTTGACTGATAAACCTTCATGGACAAACAAACACAAGGTCAAATAAGTCAAACTGACTAACTTACTGTTTGCTAAGCCATTACGTTACTGCTAATGTTAGCAAGCACTGCCTGTTAACTGAATCTTCAAGCCTTTAATCCTGCTTCACTTTTTATGTAGAGGGCATCCAACCTAACTAATTTAACTTATCATTGACAAACTATTATGTGTGCATAGATTTCTTAGCAACTAGTTGCACATTTGTCCATACAACAGAATTAATATTTAACTTTAGAGTTGTTTTGTGCTTGCTTGTTGAATGTTAATCCAATATTCACTTTCCTTTGGGCTTTAATTCGATTTCCATTTGCTCCTGAGGGAAATATCTGTATTTAAAGATGCTAAAACCCAACTTTGTTTGCCAGCTAGTTGCTAACTATGTCTGCCTTTGTTGCCGTGCATGTAGTGGATTTTTAAGAGCTGGAAATGGGTTTGCTGGGAGTGAACCAAGTAAAAAATGCTTCAGGCTGTTAGAAACTCAACAATTAGCTCCAAGAGGCTAAAATGTTTGGTATAATTGATGGAAGCTGTAGAAACTAGGGGTGATTCTTAGTGGTTTCTTCACTGTTGGCACCATTTTTAACTTTACATATTGTAATGGGAATTAATGCAGCTTTGACACATTTGTCTTCCAGATGTAACACACCCTCCTTTTATTCTGTTTCTTTGAAGTAGTCAAAGCAGTATCTCATGAATATTACAATAAACCTGTTTTCATTACACAAAAAAAGAATTATTTGAGACTGTTTGCTGAACCGTTACTAAATGCATAATGTAGTAATGGCATATTTAAATGTCACTGCTGCAGAGAATTATTTTCACTAAGAGAAAAGAGTCATGATTTACTCCTTCCTCTACAAAGTGAATACCGCTTGCATTAATCACCCCATTATGTTTTTTGGCTGAAATATAAGCAAACGCTGACAGACACTGATTCTCTAGAGGCTGCCTCGGAGCTGGGCCACACTGGCTGTCTTTAACACAAGCCTGTGGTTTTCTCTGGTCCTTTTCAGCAATACTAACTCAGTGGCCCTGTGTGCACTATACTGCAGTTATAACAAACAGAGCAACGGGTCATACCAACTTTGTTCATCTGAAATATACAATACTAAACACAGAAACGTAAATGCGCTAACCTTTCATCAGGCACTATAGCCAGTCTATAAAACTATTCTGACTGCATTGATATACAAACTCCGCTCCAGCAGAAGAAGCATATGGATATACATAACTCAGCCAGGCTCATGAGCAAACACACAAAGCAGGCACATATGGCAGGCAGACGCATGTTCCCAGATAACACATGGTCTCACCGTTCAAGGGCCTCTTTGACGAGCTCTTTTGCACTGGAGTGCGTGGTGGCGAGGACGCTTTTATAGTGAGCTCCTTCCAGGATTTCATTTCCAAAGATCTTCAGGATTCCTGGGGCAGTTATCTGATTGGACAGCTCAGATGGGTCTTCTGCAATTAAAGCATCTGCAGAGATCACTGCAGAAAGGGAAGGGAGGTTTAATGCTTTACTCAGTTGTGGTTTGGTATTATCGATGAAAGGCCAAACTTTTACATGTGATTACAAAAATTAGTTTTTATTAAAGGAGCTCCATGTTTTATTCTTAACTCTGCTAGAGTAGCTTTGTATGATTCACATTTAGTAAATACTATATTTACTTTCTTTTTTAACCTCATTCTTGAAGCCAGGTTAAGTCAGGTTTCCTCTGAGTTGCTGCCCATTAAAAAACAAAAGGTTTGAACAGAAGGTTGGTGGGGCTTCTGTGCTCAGGGCCAGTTTCGGTATATCTACTCTATCTTCACATCATATAGAGCCAAGAGTAGAAGAAAAACTGTCAGAAATTGAGTGGATAGAACAGCCTGAAGCCTGAAAAAGTATAACAGGTCCCCCTTCACGGAGCATTAGTAAAAAAGCATGCAGTAAAACAAGTTTAATGCTAACTGATGCAGTTTAGGCTGGTTCCTCAGTTTCTCTTTAGCTGATTGTCATTCAAAACCATTTTAACCCATTTCAGAATGCATATTTGCATTTGAATGCACTTTGTTTTTGTGACTTTCCAAAAATTGAAGGACAATGTAATGAAAAAATATGGTGAAAATGAATGTACAGTAAGTGCAGTGGTTCCCATATAGCACTTTTTTACTCTACGTGAACACTCAAAGCACTATATAATCACACTAGCATTTATTTCTACATCCAAGTGCTCTCTATCTCACATTCTCACTCCAGTGAACATAATGGGAGCAACTCAGGTTCACTCAGGTTCAGCATCTTGCCCAAGGACACTTTGGCTGGCTAGGAATCAAATTTCCTGCCTTCCGATAGTAGATGACCTGCTCTACACCCTGAGCCACAGCCCCTTACTGTACATCCATGACCCGCTGATGAATATTCTTTATAACACAAACTGCACAACTGATGCAGCCAGTTTAACTTAGTGGTATTGTTTGATTTAATCAAAACAATTATTATTAAAATGAAAACAGCAGAGGCAGAGCTACTCTGACTTTTATTTTCTAAACTGGCTCAGCCTGCATGCAAGATTTTGGTATTAATCTAAAGCGCTTGCAAACTGGTGCCAAAATAGCTCTGATGATATCATTTGGGTCATCGTCTTGCACATCATCACTTATCCCAGAGCCACAAGTCATCTGTGCTAAAAACACTAGCTGTAGCATTAGCACAACAAATCCTGAGTGTAAACATGCAGGGAGAAAGTAAAGTCACTGTGACGTACTGCTTCCCTTCCTGGTGTGGACAGACAATGATGACTTGAGTCCTGCAGTCAGTGCCATGGAGCCTGAGGTGGAGGTGGGGGTGCGGAGAAAGACACCTGAGAGGCGGTGGGTGTTCCGACGAATGCGGCTTTTGCAGGGCTGTCTTATGGCCACGCCCTCAGCAGATCTGCTAGCAGATGAACTTCCAGTGGATGAAGCTGAACTGCTAAATAAAAAAGTAAAAAAAGAGTGTTTGAGAAACATTTTGAACACTTACCAGCTGGAGGACTGATACAGCCATCACAAGATCAAGGAAGACATGTTTGCGTCTTCAATCAATCAGACAATCATCAGCCACAAAAAAAAGGGAACCAAAACAAAGATATTAGAAAAAGCAGATCTAATCATAAAGTATCATGTCCATTCTTGAAAGCAGCACCCATGCTAGGCACATACCGTTCTGACCGTAATGCAGTGCTGTCTGGTTTCCTTCACCATGCTTCTAAGCTCTCTTGGGACATGAATGAAATAACCAAGTGTTGCTTTACTTCTGACTGAGCCTCTAAGCTACTTATCATTATGGTTCAAAGGTTCTCTGCAGTTACGCCACCACTTGGAAATAAACGATTTTACATGTCTGATTGATAATCTTAGCACTCCTAGTTGCACATAAGCAGTTGCATTAGAGGATAATGAAAGCTCCTTCAAGTTCTCTCGGCTCAAAATGTGGGTTTATTTGTAGAAGAAATACGCAGTGGCATTTTTTTCAGTTTGGTCTTCAGCTTCTGAATCAGGCCAATAGTCTTAAAAAAGGAAGACGAGCACCAGTAGCTGAGTTCATCATAGTGTAGTGTGTGTAGTAGTGTGTAACAATACTGCAAGGCTCTAGCTGTACCAAACTTAAGTTCATGTGTCCATGTTGAATTAAAAACCACTTGCCTGAGCTTTTTCAACTTTGAGCTGAACTTCAGTGTGACAGTATCATTGTCCATGTATGTGTTAGTGCAGCTTCACTGCTGGCATCTTTATGGTTGTGTTTCTTCGAGGGATAAGTCCCTTTAGAGCAAGGTGAATTTTGCTGAATATCTTTCATTTAAAACCTCGTTTTATTTTATGATGAAATACTTTTGTAATGGCTCTCGTTGTGTATGATACCTATAGTTTGAGTTTCCTGGTCTTAGCTGACAGGTTTGGTACCCAGTGTGGTCTTCTGCTGGTGTAACCCATCTGTTTCAAGGTTACATATGTTGTGCACTTGATTAGTGGTTATTATTTCAGTTTGTGGTCTTCTTATCAACTCAAAGCAGTCTGACCATTCTCCACTGAGCTCTGGCATTTTCATTTTAATCTCCACGCCACATCTAAAGTCACTTAAATCATCATTCTTCCCTATTCTCATGATCAGTTTGAAATTCAGTAGGTCACCTTAATTATGGCTAAATGGCTAAATGGATTTCCTGCAGTGTGACTGTCTGATTAGATATCTGTGTCAATGAGTGGTTGAACAGATGTATGTAAGAAAGTGGACGATGAGCGTAGAATCGATGACTCTGCCTCAAGGTACTGGAGAAGTAAACCTTACAGTAACAGTTTATAGTGCAGCCTGTCAACTGTAATTAAATAATATTTCAATATATTTTATTTGAAATAACAATACAAGTATATTTACATACAAATACTTAAGAAGGTAACAAGTCATATTCTACAGGAAACAAAGAAATAATTATGCGGTAAGTAAATTTAACTTATGTGGTTACATATGTAGAACAATTTTAAGTTCTACATAAGTAATTTTAAGTACTGTGTGATTTCCCTGTACTTTTTAGAGTGTGGCTGTATTTTAGAGTGGGATAACCTTGCCTAACTTACAGGTATTTTACAGAAAAGGAGACAGAAATGATCCTGTAAGTAATATGAAGTATGGCCTAACTGAGCTGTGTGCAATTACCTGATGGTTTTGTGGGAAAACAAGTATTCATTAGTTAAAATTACTTACATACTACTTAAATTTACTTAGAGTGTAAATATTTCTTTGCTTCCTAACAAAATCTGACTTGTTGCCCACTTATTCAAGTGCACCTACCATTAAGTATTTGTATCTAAATATAATTAATAGTAATTTCAAATAATATACATCAAATCGTCGACCTTGGGCTGGAAACACCAATCTGCAGATGGATTCTAAACTTCCTCACAAACAGGCCCCAGGTGGTGAGAGTTGGTAAGCACACCTCCTCATCACTCATCCTAAACACAGGTACGCCACAGGGTTGTGTGCTTAGCCCCCTCCTATATTCCCTGTTCACACACGACTGTGTTGCTAAACAAGAGTCCAACATCATCATCGAGTTTACGGATGACACAACCATCGTAGGCCTCATCACAGGCAATGATGGTCTATAGAGAGGAGGTGATGGCGCTGTACGAGTGGTGTCTAGAAAATAACCTGACTCTCAACATCAGCAAAACTAGAGAGATGATAGTGGACTACCGGAAACGACCAGTCAGAGAACACCAGCCCATCCACATCAACGGTGTCAAGGTCGAAAGAGTCAGCAGCTTCAAGTTCCTTGGAGTCAACATCACAGAGGACTTCTCCTGGACCCTTCACACAGACACTGCTATCAGGCAACCTCGCCAGTGGCTTTATTTCCTGAGGAGGCTGCGGAAGTTTGGCATGAACTCCAACATCACCTCAAATTTTTACAGGTGTGCAATTGAGAGCTTGCTGACAAGCTGCATCACAGTTTGGTACAAAGCTGCTCTGCCAGCAGCCGTAAATCACTACAGAGGGTGGTGAAGGCAGCAGAGCACATCACTGGCACGAGGCTTCCTGCCATTCAGGACATTATCTCCAGCGATGCCTCCGTAAAGCACACAGCATCATCAAGGACCACAGCCACCCAGCACATCAGCTCTTCTCCTTGTTACCATCTGGCAGACGTTACAGGAGCCTGTCTGCTCGGACTACAAGACTCAAAAACAGTTTTTACCACCAAGCCATACGACACCTCAACCACAACACTTAAACACACACAACACAGCACTCAGAAGCTACCCTGCAGCTTCACAAGTACTCTGTTTAATCTGCACTGGTCACTCCACTTTATTGTTATTGATATTTATATTTAAAAGTGCAATACTGTAATTTTCTGCTGCTCATTCCTGTGCAATATCCCATCTGCCCTCCCGTCATATTTCTTTTCAAGATTTTCTTATTTAATCACTAGTGTACATATATTTATATTTATAGATACATATATATTTAGTCATCTTTTCTCTTTTACCACGTCTCTCTAATATTTTGCTCTTTACTATTTTTCTATTTTTTATTACTTTATTTTATTTTATTATATTTTATTATATTTTCTTCTACTGTACCATGCTGCTGAGTGACTGCTGCTCATCAAACACATTTCATTGCAATGTTGACCCTGTGCTAACTTGCATATGACAAATAAAACTGAAAACTGAAAACTCAAAATTCCACTTAATGATTGTGCTTTTAGTAAATGGCTATATTATAAAGCATTACCACTCTTACAACTCTAGGTCTGATTGCCATGGATGACTGCAAAACACTACGAAAAAAGTAAGAAGTGGAAAACTGAACTGTGAAATGCTATAGGAGAAGTAGACTGACAAATGCATGTGTGTATAATTTTAAAAATCTATGTAAAAACACGACTGAGCCAAAAATGACCCCATTCAGTCACTTGAAGTTTAAAATTTCCGATCAGTTCCTGTTCACAGTGACTGGGACTAATATTACATGAAATACAAAACATTCAAATCGGAAGAAAGAGACAGAAGTAAACTTGCACTTGGGGATACAAATGTTTTGTCAGGTGAACAATCAACATGGATCATCTGTTTTTGTTACAATTAAAGTCAAGTTCACAGTTCAAATACACAGACAGTCTGTCAGTGTGAATGTGGACCTCATGCTTTGTTATATCCAGTGGCTTAAGGGATCGCAAGTTCCAGGACACATCAGGATTGAATACATAACAGCATACAACAACATTCAAACAGCATGCCTAACAATACAATCAAATGACAGGAAGCACGAAGACAGAAGTAAAGGTGCACTGAGGCAGACAAAAGTTTGGTCAGGTGAACAACTTGTTAATTAAAGTGCATATGAACACAATTTGGCACGAATACGCATTTGTTAGCACGTGTTTCATACTCACTGTTGAGAGCCATCACTGGTCTTCCTCCCCAGTCTGACAAACCGTCTCTTTGGGAGAGCTGCAGGTAAGTTCGGGGGTCTTGGTGGTAGAGAGCGCAGCTCCTCAGAGGAATCTTTAATCCGACTCATTCCTGTCTGATCCACCTGGTGCTACGTTAAAGTGGTTTTATTCTAAATGATCAGAGAGGGTTATTCTCGTGCTCGACTGGAGAACAGCCGGTGTTGCCTTGCATCATTCCTGACATGTTCCATTCAGGAACCGAGGCGCAAATTCATCCAGCTGCTGCTTCATTTTCCGGAATAAGCGCTGCAGATGTTTCCAACCCTCATCCAGCTGTTGACGGACTGCTCAGTCCAACAACAGCGACGAAGCTTCTCCAGTTACAACTTCATCTCTTAACTGTCTCTGGGACGCTGACACGTGATCGAAATATATCTTACTGATGTCATTCCAGGGAGCGGACACATCTGATGAACACTGCTGCCATTATGACGTATCCTGTCCACTTCCAAAGGAAGCAGCCTGTTTCAAATTCATAACGAACCCGCTCTCCAGATGTGTTTCGACAGCGCAACTGCCTGAAAGTGCCAAGGGTGCACACACCCGCCCACCCGCACTGAAACTTTCAAAATAAAAGCTTACCGAAGAACTCGTCTGACCTTTTAAATCCCAGCTTTCACAGCATTGCACCGCTTTTCTTCCTGTGGAAGATGTGCTAAGTTCACGTCTGTGCTTGAAGCAGACAGAGGAACTCAAGCAGTGAGTGAATCCAAGATTTCTGTGTCCATCACTCCATCTTCTGGCTGAAAGCAGATCACAGCCAGCGACCTTAACCAGGACTTTAATGATGTTAAATAGCGTGTTTCTAAGCGATTTGAAGAAAAAGAGCGAACATGTGTAGATTGAGTCCATACGGTTCTCATAATTCCTCATTTTCCCGAGGTCGTCATTTAGGAACGTGGTGGGTAGCCGAAAACGTAATATGTTGACGATTTGTCACCTAGCGCAAAATGTTACGCTTTGGGAGTGAGAACGGGTTGTCACAGCAGGATTTTTTTTATTTATTTTTTTATTAATGTAGGCTTATTATTCTAATTTGCAGTTCTGATTTTTTTTTCTTTTACTCTTAAATCTACTAGATTCTAGCTTTGCAATGATTTACCTTTCAAATTAGTCCTTATTTATCTAATACAGGTCCCTGGTGTAACCCCTCAATACCAACTAGTTTTGGACTGACTCAGTCCAAAAGTAGTCAAAGCCAAAGTTCTTCTGATTGGCTTTCCCACGAAAAAAATAAGATTTGAACAGCAGGTAGGTTTCTGCTTGAGATACAGTAACATCCCCTCTTGTTGGTAACACACAGAGCTAGTATTAAAAAAAAGTGTTTAAAGCTGCTTTAGCTTTAAGCTTGAGGGATTATTTTTGCATATTTTTTTTTTGCATATCATTACTGGAGTCTTTGCCCATCTTTAAGTGGAGCTATTATGGAAAAAACAATCATATTTGAGTTGTCGGCACTACGTTTAAGATACTTTTGTTAAACCTTTAATAACTAAAAAGATTTAGTGCTTGGTAAATCCTTTTTAGTTATGAAACCCTGAACCAAATTGCTGACTTACGTCATCATCAGAGGCCCATGTGTGACAAGAAATGTTATAATGCTTTTATTCAGTGTTCTCAGTAAAAATATGCTAACGTATAAAACCAATGTGTAAAATTAGTTGATTGCCCTGAATGCTGTCATTTAGGTTGCTGGGTAGAAGACATTTCTTGCTATAACTGGCAAACTCACATCAGAGTGTATCACATGTGTTTTGTAGTTTCATGTGATTCCAATTTCGTATCAAAATATAAACAAATAAGAGGTGACTCAAGACTTTTGCACAATATTGTAACTGAGGTTTAGTTATTCAGCCCATCACCCATAATGAGAGAAGAAAGTAGCTACACAACAAATAAGATCCCCTCCATACAAAATTTCACTAGTGGATGTAAGAGCTAATACAAAATTACACTAGAATGATAAGATACAAGCTTAAAGTTGCTTTTTATGTTTTTCCATTCGTCCGTCAGGAAGTCCACCAGCAGCTGTTTTGTTTGAAGAGTTCCAAGAGCAACACCACGTGACCGTCGATTAGAGACACGACCACTAGATGGTGCACTGTGCGTTACAAATAACCGAGTGTAACACCCTGAACAGAAGCTCTGCTTGTACACTGACATTGTTTATAAGGGATTCAAAAAATTGAAAACCTTAACCCTAAACCCTGTGTAGTAGTTATTTAATTCACGTTTGCTTCTTTTGTTCAATTCACAAAGGCCACTTTTCTCTAACTCATTAATTCACTTTAAACAAAAACACATCAAACACCCGCTGGTGAGCTGAAGAGCACTCCCTCGTGGTTTGCGTGGAAAGATAAATGGGCGGAGCTGTTCTGTATAGGCCCTTTTGGATAACATGACGCTTCTGATACCTGAATCTTGTAACAGCTCCTGTAGTGTAAACACTACGCAGGGCTTCCCCCGCATGTCACTGCAAGTTCACACCGTGCAGGTTCTCTCTCGTGTGGACTCGTTTACTTGCACTTCACTGGATAGGCTATCCATCTTATCGTGAGCAGGAAAGAATCCGCCTGTAGGCCAAGGTCAGGCTTTCTCAGTACATAGGAAGAGAACAGAAGGGCTTAAGATCTAGTAATCAGATCCCCGGCTGGAGAAGGAGGAGTGACACCTGCAAGCAGGAGACTTAAGAAAGCTTTACAGCCCATACCTCACAAATTTACCTAACAGTAGTTAAGTCAGTGCTGCTGTTTGCGGAACTATTAAAAATGCCTTTACTACACACAAATCTCCCTTTCTTTCACTATCTCCAAAACAGAAAACAACACATCTGCTGTGTTATGAGCCAAAATAAAGCAGAGCTCTGTGCTTATGTTGATTCTGACGTCTATAATTTGACCAGAACTAACCTGCTGGAAATGCACTGCATGACTCTGGTATTTTAATCAGTTTTGACAAAAACATTAGCTTACACAGCTTAATCCGAGGTGCCACTAGCAGAATTCATATATTACTGAGTGGAAAAAAACTAAACTGAAGTTGGCTGTGTTGGTTGGTGGAACATCTGATGTGGTGTGCACATTTAAACACGGGATCCAAAGGGCTGAGACAATTAAGGATAATTTGGTGGACAAAAAGGGTGGATGGATTGACAGCTAGTTGTTTTTCTATAAAAGTTGCAAAAATTTTAAATTAAAAATTTTAATTTATTACAGTGTGGAGTTACATATACTCCTGGGTGTGTTCAACAGATTGACAGGTGACAGGAATTGATGTATGCAGGTGGTTTTAACAGAGAACTTCACAGCTCAGTATCTCAGCATGACCAAACACTACAAATTTTAAACAACTGACTCGTGTGACTTTTTCCATCATTGTGGAACATTTTCATGCTGCAGTATTTTGTTTTGTTGTTTTTACCTTTCTTTACTTTTTTTTTTTACAGTGTAAGAAAAAACTCTTGTTGTAAAGACAGTTGGGAGTAATGAACACTGTTTAAAAAAAACCTTTCAGCCATAGGTAGCTTTTATAAATATTCAGAGGCAATAAAAGCCACCTAGCCACGCTGAAATGCCGTTGAGTGGGTTGCCATGACAACACCAGAAGCTGGTATGTGAAATCGTCATTTTGATTTCTGTTTATTTTCTTTTTGTTTATTTTATATTTGTGTACAATTATAGTGAAACACCACAAGATAATTTACAAGTTTATGGATGCATTTCTTTAAATAAATTTTTTCTGATAAAATTGTTGTCGAACAGTCCCCGCCTCCGTGAGTCACAGGAACCGGAAGTTGTGAGCGGGAGAGACAGAACGATAACACGGCAGACTTCAACAGTAGAATTATGAGCATTAACTTTGCTAAGCACTTACGTACTCTGTTAAATGGAACACGTTTCTGAGATGGATGTCATATGTAAAATTGAAATGATTTTATTTCTCTCTGTTTTTCACGATGCTTCAGCATTGTGAGAGGAAAATAAACTGAAATGTGGACGTTAGTATGAAGCGTGTTTTTTTGACCAGAGTAGATACACTAGCAGTGTTTGATTCTGAGGTTAATTCTTAAGGCACAGAGGTGCATCTATTTTTATGTGGCGAACCAAATGTTGGCGTGGAGTGGATATTCTGAAGCAAAATCTAGGCTCTGATTGTTCACACACAGCAACACTGAGCAGCAGAGGAAATATTCAGGCATGCTCAGTAGCTGTACTTCTGCAAAGAGCCTGCTTTTTGGGCACTTATTTGGAATGTATTTGTTAAAGCTTTGATTCCTGTAAATAAGATAATAACTGCAATATTCAGTAAAAGTATTTTGACTTCCACTTTCCTTTCTTTGACTTGGCTCAGAATGCAGAAATCCGCAAATGAGCAGAGTGTAACTGCACAGAGGGGACGTTCAATTCATTTTTGTGTAGCTAACGCTGAATCACACCAGCAGTTGCTTCAAGCCGCTACATACTTTAAGGTAAAGAGTATACTTGAGAAAATTCCACCAATCAGTTGGCCCCTTATGAGCAAGCACTTTGTTAGGATAAGAAGGAAAACTCCCTTTTTACAGGAATAAACGTCAGGCAGAACCAGGCTCGGGGATGGGCATTCATCTGCTATGACTGTTTGGGGAGTGAGGGGAAAGAGAAAAGAAGAAAGCAAGAGCAAAGAGAGAGAAGGCAGAAATGTAACATTCTGTACTGATACAGAAACCACATGGCAGTGGTACTGAAACCACATCAGAGTACCACAGGAGCACCCACAGCAGTGTGAGCCTATAGTTGCATAACTAAGGGATGATTCAGGGATACCCAATTCAGCCAAAGCTGTATCAGACTGTTAGGTACAAGTATGCACTGTGCACATAATTTAACTGATGCTGAACCACTCTTGATATACAGTACATGCATTAACGCAATCAGACGGACAAACTGATAAATAATGTGGTACGCTTCAGATCATGAACCATTTCTCTGGCCTTTTTTGTGTGTGTGTAATCAGTGCTTTGCAGCTTGTTCTAAATCCTCAGGAAGTATCTGTGGAGTTGGACAATGAAGCAATCACGCTTCAAACGAGTTTTATAAGAGAACATTTGAAGACATTATGTCTCAGGTGGTTTATACAGAGCTTGACATGTTTGCCAATAGCTGCATACGCCATCACAGGGCCATACATAGGTAAAGCTGAAACACTTTTCGAGATTGTCTACCTTTCAGTTCATTTAATTTCAGTTGTTTTATAGGAGGAACAACAACAGGAAGAACATCCTTTTAGCAAGAAGGCCTTCAACAGAACCAGGCTTAGGAAAGTGGAGCCATGTGCCATATCCGGTTGGAGATCAGAAGAAATGTGAGAATGACAGAATACTAGGACTCACTGATTTGACTTGACCCATACATGAGCTTAAGGTCACAATACCTCAAACAGAGTTTATCTGTAGGACAGGAAAATGTATCTTATAATAACCTTTTAAGCATGTAGAACCAGTCCAAGAGGAAGTGTACGGTAACAGGTTTACGAGGTGGAAGGAAGATTTAAGGACTTTTATTTAAATACCTTTCCAATCAGGTTTGAAGATATATTTGTTAGTTGTGGTCCTACTGTATGTTCTCTTTAAGTGCATGTGTCCATATGTAACCAAGCATCACCGTCACAGAGATGTGCCCTCCAGCACACATCCGTTTTCTGAAATACACCATTACTTGAGGCTGCTTTTAAAAAGAAGTGTTTATTTACCATTCATCAATTTCACATACAGTGCACTAAAAGGACTTAAATATTTTTTTAAACATCTCGGAGAGCTTGCTTTGTGTGGATTTAGGTTGTCTTCACTCTCTTCATCTAATAGCCTGATGTTGACATCAGAGCTCTGTGTGGGCCATACCATCTGTTGCAGGATAAGATTTTTATGACTCTTGCTGCATGTTTTCTAGTGGTTGTCATGCTGCAGAATGAATGCGGGACCAGCACTTCACAATATGATCTCAGTGAAGATAATGTGAGCAACCCAAGCCCTCTTGTCCTGGCCACAAAAAAATCTAAGTCAAAACCTTTAAAAAAAAAAAAAAAAAAAAACCATAACTACAAACTGTTATCGCGTGTAAACCCTAATGATCTGACTCGGAAGCTAAGCATTATTCAATACTGTCGAGTCATGTTGACTGTGCACGGTAAAAGTGAGACAGGGAGCAGCAAAAGGGGTGGAGCTCCGCAATATGTACAACCTTTTACTGTCACTAAATCCTCCCGCGAACTACTTCTCGAGCTGACTCTGGATGACTTCTCTCGTGGCAGTGCGGAAGTACCGGAGCAGTAACTGCGCGAGTCGGTCCACGCCGTGAAGAGAGAGGGGAGCGCGATACAGACACCCGAACCAACTCCGCTACACTGCACTCGTATGTGTGGCATGTGACGGTTAGAGAGCGTCCAGTTACGAGAAGGAACAGGAAAGCAGGTCGTTTGGCTACAAAGAGCTCGACCTGTAGAAGGTGCACGCAGAGCTCTCCGGTGGTTCCCCGCCTCCCGCTGTGACCGAGATGGAGCGGTTGTGCGGACCAAAGCTTCCGTTCTGGGTGAGTACCCTTCTGCGCTCGGTGGTTTGTCATGAACATCGGGGTATACTGCAGAATACTCCCCTACCCCGGTGTATAGTTCGTTCACTACCAGGTGGTTTTGAACAGTGTTATGTCACCGGCTGCTCTTGTTTTCTTTCCGTCGCAGCTGTCTATAAATAAGCTTTTTCCCACCTAATAGCATTTACCGGTTTAATAAGCTCACAGTTAATGACACGGCGAACTGCGTGTTTTCGGTTTAGAGAAGTCGGTCACTCGTGCAAAAGAACACCTCATACATTGGATAAGTACCTGTCAACTTCTGTTTAATGGCTCTTGCGGCACTCCTTAGACATGTCGGGGTCTTTAAACTTCTCTAACAGTCCATAAACAGTAGCAAGATGATCGAATGGGCAAGAGCTACTAAATAGCTTGCTACATTAGCCTCACTGGGAATAAAGGAGGGATAAACTCACAGTTAAGCATCAGCACTAATCATTTTCCCACTGGGAATATTTTGGTGACTCTGTTTTTTCCCCTTCTGCTGTTGATGATGCGACACTGAGGAAACTGAGGTCACGCTCGGTGTAGTGCGTCGTTTGTCTTATACTTGCAGGTTTAATGCCATAAAACATGATTGCAGCTCCTAATGTAAACACGGTTCAGAGTTTCATTTCCCCCGCTTTAATGTTAGGAATGCGGAGCGGGCAGAAGTGCAGACATTCTGTACTTAAGTAGAAGTACAGAATGTCTGCACTGTTAAAAAAAAAATACTCCAGTAAAACTAGAAATAATGATTCATCTTCTTTACTCAAGTAAAAATGAAAAAATACAAGTTCTGAAATGTACACAAAATAAGAAAATAAAAGTAGCTCCTTAAAGAATATTTTTTCCAACTATTTGTACACAAAGCTAATTGAACCTTGTGTTATATTAATAGTTGCCTGGAAAAAAAGTTGCCTGAATTTTAATTCTAATAGATACACTCAGTTTGAATCAGTAAGTGTAACACGAACAGAGAAAAAGAAGGAAATGTTATAAAAAAAGTGGCGTTTTTTTATGTTGCCTACATTGAAGGGGGGACTTTGCCTCTTAACAGGAAAATGCGTAGAGAAGAGGTTAAAGCCGTTTCAGCAGGTGGAGAACCCAATAAATCTGTTGTAGTGGCTCAGTGTGAGGAAAAGAATCACAACTCTCAATAATTTCTATTGAGAGCTCCGGTAGATTTTCTTAGTGTACAGGCTGTGATCAGCTGTGGGTTTACACACCTGAATTAAGCAGATGTTTCATGAGCTGTCCTGGTTGATTTCCATCGTCTACACTGACAGTACACTGTTTATAATGTCTTTATACCCAATAATTCTCAGCATCATCAGCTTAACTTCAGATTCTCCTCTGCTACACTTAATGTAACCTAACTCTGATCATGGAACCACAGCTGCTGCGCACCAGTCACGCACTGATCCATCACAGTACAGCAAACTAACCTGTTTATCCTGTACAAAAGAGTATTTCCGCGCACAGTTTGTTCCAGTGTTGTGCCAAAAAAAAAAATAGAAACACTGGCTCACTTTAACCTCTGACTATGGCACAGTTTTTTATGCCACATCCCTTGGTGATCAACCACATGAACAGGATTGCCTTTCATGTGTTACGGTTCAGGCTCAAATCGGTTTAATGTTTGAAGGCCTGCAGTCACATGACAAAATAACTCCCCTCAAATTAAACCAAAAGTATTGAGTCTTGTTTTGAAAATCTGATTATTAGTATTTGTACTTTGTTACTTCCCACCTCTGTGAGAATGCAAACACCGCCTACAGAGTGTCATCATTTAGCTTTGACTACTATGACTGTCTCTGTTTGGGGAAGTCTGTTTTAAAGAAGTGACATTGCGGCAGATGAGTATTTCCCAGGGTGGGTGACGGTAATATGCTGCTCTCATGGAGGTTACAATGGTCACTTCCCTGCAGAATGCAGATTCCAAAATGACCACATTGCAAGGTAACCGACAGCCACGCTCAGTAACACTAGATTTGCCTGGATGCTTTTTGTCCACATGTACAAAAAGTTATAGTTATAGCCTGCCTGGCTTCCTGTGGTTGAAAGACCATTTACAATGTGCTGTTTTAATTTGAATATTTTGCAGCCATATTGTAAAGCATTAAACGAATAGCTTCTTAAGGCTTTAATTTCATGGTTTAGCCACAAATTGTGTATTGATGACCAACAGTTGCGCATATAAACATCGATCTGACCCATTCAGATAAAAAGGATTCTTTTTGTTTGTTCGCTTTTGGCAGGGTTGTCTGGCTGTTTAGTATGGATGTGTGCCAGCAACTGCTAAACAGCACAAAACGAAGAAGCTTGTTAACCAGCAGGTGCTGGACTGGAGAATCAAGTCAGGTGTAGTTACACTAGATGCGATATACACACAAAGGAAGCTAGAGAAAGCCAAAGATGACCACAGACCAAAGATAATGAAAACTAATTTTAAAAAGAATAAAATCCAAAATTTTTGAATCTCACACAATGAGCTCCAAGTGAACATCAAATATCACATTTTGGCTTGAAACGGCCATTCTCAGCGTTTAGCACCTGATTGCTTCGTGATATTACTCAGCTGTGATATCACAAAGCATGGCCGCTGCAAAATATTCAAAGTTGTAAAATATTTTCTCTTTTGTTAATCAGTTGTTGATAGGAAGCTCTTATTTAGCACCTGAATGTACAAAGACACAGATTATTTGGCTTTATTTAAATTTTTCTGTGGGATCTTTTGAAGTTTAGGAAGGTTTTATCACAAAAGAAACCAGAATCTGAACCAAACTGTGCTGCTGACCTGCATCTGGTTGGATCTCACATTAAGTGCCGGCTCGCTCTTGAGGCCTATTTGCCTATCCTATTTGCTGCTGTCCGCTTTAAACAGACCGACGGCAGTTGTAATCCCCTTGCACAGTGCAAGTCAGGTTAACTACTAAAGCCCCCGTTCACATATAAAGCGATTCGCTTGTAGATGTGCTTCTGTAGGCAGCCTTATAATTTGTCACCATGTGTGATCCTTCCATTCCAGCGATGGTCATTTCAATCATTCACTTTAAAGTTGGTAACAGTTCACCAGTTATTACTAAAGGTTATTTTGCCTGTCGTCACTCCAAGTCATCGAACGTCATTGTCGTCCATGGTTACTAGTTGTCCCTTTAATTTCCTGAGTGTATGCCCCTTAGCACATGGGAGAGAGCTTTATTTGTTCCCTCACTGTTTGCAAAAGGTGTAGTGTGCACCTTTTCCCTTTAAATGATTGCTCAAACATGGCTGTAGTAAAATCAGCGTTTGCACTGCTCATTTCCTTGTCGGGTGATTTATGAATTAGCCTTTGTGTGAATGAGCGTGTACACAGCATTTATAAAAGGGAGTTTTGAAGTACTATGCGGGGGAATCTTTTGCTCTGAAACCTCACACTGACAAGATTTGAATGGTAAAACAGCTGGCTTTGATGTTTGTTTCTGACCTGTTTACTTCTATCATAAAGCATATAACAGTTTATAGACAAGCCGCCCCCGTATTTAACATTTGTGTCAGTGTGACACTGGGTAGGCTGTCTGTAATGCTGTTACCTCTGTGGTAAATCAGCGTGAAGCCACATTAGAGAAAATGTGCCCTGTGTTCTGTGGTGAGTTTTAACTTTGGGACTCTGGTTTCTGAATATTAATAAAGACAAAAAAAAGGTTGTGTTTAATAAAAGGGCTACAATCCCACTTTTTGATAATGCCATATGGGTTTTTAAATGAGTCATTTAGTGTATAATATTAAATAATCATCAAAATATCTTTTACAGTTTTTCACGAAAGTTTTAACAGTTTCAAAGCGTAAAGAAAAATGCAGCTATTTCCCCATTTAAAAAAAGGCCCAGAAAATGATTGTTGACTGAAACAATTAAATAGTTATTGGAGCGGTTGCAGACTGTGAAATACCAATGATTTGATATCGACCAGGAAAGCCGATGTCAACCAATACAGATATCGGCTAATACCAATGTTGAGCCAATGTTTGAAATACTGTCATGTGACATAGGTGGTTCCAGTCCTATTGGTTTGGCTTTGCAGTGACCGAGCAGTACAAAAAGGCTCAAAAGACATGCAAATCGTTTTGCACATGCCAGCCCTGCACACCATCTGCCAGAACTGTCTCCATAAAATCATCTGACAGCTGCTTTTTGGGGCTTCCCCACATAATCTTCCTTTATGGATCAAGTTCTCATTAGATTGCAAATTTTAGTTCTTCTGAGCTTTTTAAAGACTTCCCTGTTGGTTTCAAAGTTGATGTTGAAAGTTCAGTCTCAGCACTGGACTCAGCAGTTTGCTACCACCTGCAAATCTTCATTATCGACTTGCTGTGAACAGTGTCATGCGAAATAAAAAAATGAAAATCACGTTTTGTTTTGTTTTTTTAAAGGGAGAAATGTTTTATATAAACACTTTGATGAATATACTGTAATGTGTTACGTACTGTTTTGATAACCTCCCTTGTACAAAGTCTGTGTTGTGTATCATTGTGAGAATACAGCTGCTAACTGTCGTGTTCTGTCTCGTTGTGTGCTGCCTCTTCATGCTCGACCCCGGCCTAAACACTTAAACCAAATGGAGTATTTCTGGAAGCAGCAGCCCCTCTGACACAGACTGTCTCCTTATTTGTACTAGAATAGAGAAAGGAGGACTGCAGAATGTTCCTGAACTTTTCCCAACAGTGTTTGAAGTTTGAATGCGGAAAATGCTTTTTGGGTACACATAAAAAAGAAATATAGATAATAACTGTATGTTTCTGTTTAAAGTAAAATAGATGCATTCCAGTATTTACTATATTGGCTGCTAATAAGAAAAAAGCTTTTGAACTGATTACTTGAAAGATAATTGGAATTGAACACATTGATTAGAAAATGTCCATTAAGCCATTTAAGCTATTTATTAAAAGCCAGCGTTGGGAGTGACCACGAGGGACAGGATTGTAAATGAGTACATCAGAGG